CGATATCCCGATTGTTCTGGTATCAACAAACTATTACTATTTAAATACTCCAACAGCTGGCCTTTAACAACAAGTTTAAAATTTTCTCTAATGTGTGCAACATGTTGATGGGACGAAACTCTTCGGCTTTAATCGTTCCAGCAACTTTTTGAATAAGGACCACTAAGGATTCCTTCCAAATTTGTGGCACATGTCCAGTTTGTAATGATTCATTAATAAGGTCCAGCAAGATGTGGCCAATGACATGAAAGCAATCTTGAATAACTCTAGCATTAACATTATCTACTCCATCCGATTTTCCTAATGAAAAACAAATAACTCTAAGTTCATCTAATGTTATTGGGTGAAAAATTTCAAATCTACAACTACTATTAACTGGCTGTTTTATTTCGTCAGGTTCATCGACCAATTCAATGGATTGATTATTCAATGAAACACTGTCTACAAAATAATCTTTAAACTTAGCTGAAATTACTTGTTCTGACTGTTTTAATGTGCCATTAAAAGTTATGGACCGCGGTTTCCAATTACTAGGTTTTAATTTCAACATTTTCCATAACTCTTTGCTGTTGTTTTGATGCTGATCAATCTTCCTTTGAACATATTCACAACGAGTTTTCTTTATCGATTGTGAATACTTATTACGCGCGATTGTGTAGCTATTCCAATGATTGTCATTATTTGATCTACACAACTTTTTGTACCATTTGTCCTTTTTCCGTTTAAGACGCAAAAGATCCAAATTGTACCAGCTGTTCGAGTTTTTCAAAGAAACCAACTTTTGCTCAACTAGTTGATTGGTACACGTTTTCAAAGCGTTATTAAGAACAGCTGTAGATTCATCTAAGTTACCAGCCGCAAATGGAAAATCCACGCTCCTCTCAACAAGATTCGAAACAGCTTGCTTCGAATATTTCCTCCAGTACTTCAATTTTACTAAATTATTCTTATCGTTAACATGGTCTAAGACATTAATCACTAAAGTCTCATGATCGGTTATTTTCAAATCAGTATCCGTAACTGAACAAATGGAATCAAAATTGGAATAAACGTGGTCAATTAAAGTTCTACTGTGCCTGGAAATACGCGTATACTCATTTACCGTTTGCTTTAAAATAAAAAACTCAGCTAATCGCTTCAAATGAGTTGAATTATGGTTATCACGCCAATTAATATTAAAATAACCAGCCAATATATTTAATTTACTAGAATCAAGGAATGTCTCAAGCCAGTTCTCTAAAACTTCAACAAAACGCTGGTCACTAGAACTGGGAGAATGATACAAAACACCATAATTACCCATCTTCATGCCACGTACAACTGTAATGCCCAAGAACCAGTTGCCATCAATAACTTCGTTGGTACGAAGGTTGAATTGAACTGATTCTTTGACATAAATAGCAACACCGCCAGTGTGTCTAGAATGTGAGTTTCAGATAATAAAACTAAAAGAGGACGTTTTTCCTCAACAATCTGACGTAATGCTACGTAGTTTGTTGACAACCCCGCAATATTCAAATATAAAAAATCGAATTGATTCACATTCCTGGAACTTGGCTGCTATTTAATGAAACGCAAGCTGCTTTTCTTCTGATCAAAAAGCCTTTTATAGAGCAAACATTCCGAGCTAAATGCGGCATGGTTGACGTCCAAGTTCATTTTTCGTTCTTCATTCATTTTCAAACAATTAATACATTTCAATACAGTTGACGTACACTCCGACATTTTGTGTTGTTGGCTGCACCTAGAGCATCTTTCACAATTTTTGCAATCCATGCTCTTGTGCCCAAATTCTCCACATTTGAAGCATCTCAACACATTAATCGCGGGAACTATCGAGCACCGATCAAACCCTACATTTATACGTATCGACATCGACTTCAATTACAACACTAAACTTGTTATAAGTGATGCGTGGATTTTCAAACATGTTCGCTACTTTTACATAATTTATAGCGATGTCTTCATTTTGACTTTTTAAGTAGTCAATGAAGACATCGGAGGAAAACTGATCGCTCATGCCCACTATTCTCAATCTTGGCACCGAAGCGGGAACAACAGCACTATATTTTTCACCCAGATTGCTTTCAATACCATTTTTCACATCATTTAGATTAGCTACTGTTGCACACTCAACAATAATGGAGCCACCTTTACCATTTCTGAAATTACTGATTTTGTGTGTTTTTGGATCTAACTGTGTTTTAAAAAACTTACGAGTATCTTAGCAAGCTTGTTTGGACTCTTTTGGTTTGATCACAATGACCGGACGAGTCTTACGGTTACTCTGTTTGTTACTGTTACTATTAATGTTACTGTTACTGTTACTGTTACTGTTAATGTTACTGTTACTGTTACTGTTACTGTTACTAATATATTTACTTTTATTTGCAGAGCACGCAATAAGCTAATATGCGATATAATATATAATATATAATATAATAAAGGACGAATCGTGCTATTGTCTCTTTCATACTTTTCCAAGAGTATAACTCTATAACAATAAAAATGCGAAAAAGAAGAAGAAGAAGAAGAAGAAGAAGAAGAAGAAGAAGAAGAAGAGAAGAAGAATCTCTGGATTTAAAATTTACAAGTTTTATACTAATTGCTGAATTCACCAAGCACAATCACGTTGCAGTTCGATTATATGTATAGTTAACTGTATAAAGTTCTTTTACACTTTTTCTCAGATGGATCAGGCAGCCAGTATAAAAATAAGATGACAGGTTTTAATGTGTGCCATATGGAAAAAAAAGACTTCGGTCTTAAAGACTTCGCTGCATGCCATGGTAAAGGTCCATGTTATGCATTGGGAGGAGTTTTGAAACAAAATGCTGCAAGAGTGAAGCCAGATTTAAAAGTACCAGAGGAGTTTTTTTTTCAGAAACATATTATAAAGCAATGGATACGAAAATTAAAATCCATTATACTCGGGTAAAACAATTTCCGGAGCCCAATTGTATCTGAGTTCTACACCAGAAAATTAAAATTATATTATTGTAAAACGATTTTCGTTTTCGGAAGAAGGAACACGTGTAAAACTGTGAAATTATTTCTAGATATGTTCAATGTTACGGTTACGTAGAATAAAGCAATAAGCAATGTAGGAATGAGAATTAAAAGGTTAGTTTTTATAGCATGAACTTGAGAAAAAAGCAATGAATTTTTTTTGTTTCATTTCAATTTTCTGCTGGTGTAAAATTATAATTTCCACATATTGTCAGAAAATCCCACTATTATGGGTCAGTCAGTTCTACGTGTTAATTAAATGGAAGTGGCCCATAATTTTGGTTGGCATATAATACTGGGGTGACTTTAATTCCCTATAAAAAAAAGAACGAATCGGAGATCGAATCTGTCACCTCCGGCTTGGTAATACATATCATGACTTTACTGCTAGAAAATAAACTACTTTCATATTAAAAAGAGTCATTGTAAATTTATTATTAAATACAAAAATATATCACAAAATAAAAAAAAACCCCATCCTTGATTAATTATATGTTAAGTATAAAAGTATGAGATTAAAAAAAAACCGCAAGGTTTTCTGTGGTATCAACACTGTGAAATCAATAAAAAATGATTTTTTTTTTAGCATGTTAAAATTAATTTGACCTTCAGCTTTATGTTATTATGCCCTTTTATATACCATTCATTTGATAGAAAAAGATCGAAAATAGATCCCGTGTTTAAAATATAATGATTTTTCAAAGTTGGGTATATAGGCAAAAACGTCGATTTTTTGGACCATCCTAACTCAGGAAGGTGTACCCTAAGGGCGAAATAAAATAATACATATCAAATTTTTTTTTAAAATAAGTGACAAATGTGCAAGGTTTGAGTGAAATTGGAGCATTTTTTTGGTTGTACATTTTTTCATGGCATTGCTGCAAAGCATGCTTTACAAAATACAAAAAATAGAAAATTCAATAGGTGTTTCCATCTATATGTTTTCTCGTGTAAACAAACAAGGGTTTTTCTATTTTTCTATGGGATCTTCTTTATACAGTTACACAGAAGCCTTTCGGTCCTTTATATTTGTCAGATCATATAATTAGAACAAAATGTGATAAAACGTTTGTTGAAATAGTTTATAGTTCGAGCGAAATTTATTTTATGTTCCATATTCCATTCAAATTTAATGAAAACTGTTGCTGAAAGCTTAAACTTGCGGTTTTAGGAAGTATCAGGATTTTTGAGATATGTTGTAAATTTTCCAAAGCTGTAAACGCGTTACGAAAAATGACTTCAAAAATTATGCCAAACCGTGCAAACACTTTGTTCTACGAAATCATATTTATTTTAGTTGGTGTGTACTATCAAATGCGCGGAAATAAACACAATTGAAAAAAATATCCTTTGTTCAAGTTATGTTGACATGAGTATAAAAATTGCATTTAGAGCACATGTGATTTACAATCGCGTAAAAATTACATGCTGCTTCAAATATATTGTTTATTTTTTTGCCTTTTACATTTGTCAGATCACTTAAATAGAACACAATTTGATAAAAAGTGGGTTGACAGACTTAATAGTCGGAACTGAATTTATTTTTGAGACATTATTGTTAATTTTCTAAAGTTGTAAACGTTGAACGAAAAATGACACTGCAATTGAGCAAAATCGTACAAATACTTTGTTCTACGAAATCCATATTTAGTTGGTTTGTATCACCTTTTAGAAGTTCTGAAATAAAACATATCTGGCTTTAAACAGTTGAATTTTTTTTCCTGGTGACATGATTATAAAAAATGTATTTAAGAGCACATGTGATTTAAAATTTCGTAAAAAATTACATACTGCTTCAAATAAATAGCTTATTATCTTTCCCGTGTTATAAACTGAACAGCCCTTAATCAAAACTGGATCTCAAACGATACTGTTACATTATAACAAAAAAATAAATCGAATCAATATCCAAAGATGAAGAGCCCTTAGGAAAATCAACAAAAATGTATCAACAAATTAACCTCAATCAATGGAAATGCACCACCACTTACGTCTTCATCGTTGTCACCAGTATCGGGCGACCCTTGTTTCATCTAAACGTCAACGCAGGCATCACTCCAGTAATATCATATGTTTCTGAATTCCATGCTCTTGTGTTCTCCAACTAGCAACTCGGTTGATTAATAGATAGAAAGTCCCTGTTTGAGCATTGTTATATATTATAAGTATTGAATTAGATTATAAGCTACCGTCGCACTTCATAGAGTAATCCAGCTCATTGGATAGTGCTCTATTGCAAACTTCATTAGAAAATATTGAAGATTTTATTACTATCGGAGAAGAGGCTTGAAAGGACCTTCACTCCAATTTATTGGAATGGGCTTTCCTTCACTGGAAAAAAAAAGTTATTTTACTACTACTAAAGGCCCTACACGCTATTTCAAATCAACCCAAATGTTGGTAGAATCCACCTAGTTCGGTCAAAACGGAACCTATTCAAAAATGGGTAAACTATGTTAAGAGTTACAAGTTAACAAATGAACAATATCGACCTGAGTTTGATCGATTTTGTTCATTTGACGAATTGTAGCTCCCAACTTTGTTTCCCCCATGCTAGCCGTCTAATCATACTTTGAGAAATTATTAATTTTTCTATAATTAATAATTTCAGATTGAAATTGATTTTTGTACAGGAGTACCTTTGTATGCTAGTAACATGTTAAAATGACATCAAACAGATAGGGCTCACTTTCCTCGCCGATAGCTTGAAGTAGCCGGACGTACTTTGTTCGTGTCTCCGTTGCGGGCATTAGTTTCGTATCCGGTGGAGGTTTTTTTTCCTCACCATAGTGTTTTTTTATATCGAGCATTATCACCCACTTTGGGCGAAGTTCAGTGCCGAAGGCAACCGCTGTTAGCAGAGGAGGTAGCCACCTTTAGCGACGCTATAGGTGGACTATTCATCATCACCGCATGATCTCACCGTCTTCATCTAATCACCACTCCAAAGCAGTAAGCAACAAACAACAAGCAGCAAACGGAGTGGTTGCACCAGTTCACACAGCCGGTGCCGGCCGGCGTTAATTATACCATAAAATAGTCTTCTCGAGCCCATTGCCCCGCTTTTGTTATAAAATTTTGCGCGTGGCTTTGCCCTCTCCCCTGATAGGGTCGTGAGGGCTATAGTGGTGCAACTTTTTGCAACTAGTAAAAAGTTTTTTGCACACAAAGTGCAGCGTTCAATCTCTGGACGTTCCAAGCAGTCATATATACAAATGGTGAAGGCTGCATAGCCGTCCAAGATGAAAATCAATTCAAAATCAATACGATCGTCGTTTACCAAATAAATGTGAAGAACAAAAATCTTTGCATAGCTTCAGTATATGTTCCACCAAGAACCTCCACTAGCCGTAGCCAACTCTGGAATCTAGTTTCGATTCTTCCATTCCCAGTATTCATTCTGGCTGATATGAACTGCCATTGTACAGGGTGGGCCGATCTATACGATGACAATAGAGCGGCTATTGTTTTACGATTTATGTGATGATTTCAACTTGACTATTTTGAACACTGGTGAAGTGACACGTATAGCTAAACCTCCGGATCGAGAAAGCCGACTCGACCTATCTTTTTGTTCAAGATCACTATCATTGGATTGTCTGTGGAAGGTTATCAATGATCCCCATGGTAGCGATCATTTGCCAATCATCATTTCAATTAAGTGATGCCCTCAATCTGCAGAGCCATCTCGAGTTCCATTTGATCTTACAAGGAACATAGCTTGGCAGAAATATGCAACGGCGGTGACAATCGGTGTCGAATCAATAGATACGCTTCTACCATTGGAAGAATATCGATTCCTAGCCGGTTTGATAAACAAAAGCTCACTGGAAGCACAAAAAAGAAAAGTTCCAAGTGCACCCTTCAAAAGGAGACCAGCCACACCTGGATGGGACGAATAATGCACAAAATTGTATGTAGAAAAATCTGATGCTTTCAAAGCTTTTCGTAGACACAAAACCTCCACAGACTTCGAGGAATATTCAAAGCTTGAGGCAAAGCTGAAACAATTAATCAAAGCAAAAAAACGCGGTTATTGGCGCAATTTCATTGAGGGACTCTCACGAGAAACCTCAATGAACACCTTGTGGAGGGTGGCTCGCAACATGCGTAACGGCTCATCTTCTAATGAGAGTGAAGAATTCTCCAACCGATGGATTTTCGATTTCGCTAATAAGGCCAGTCCGGACTCAGTTCCAGCACAACATATTTTTTTGAGAAACGTCTCCAAACGGCGGTTCTCTGTATAGATCATTCACAATTCTCTGGAATTCTCTATGGCTCTTCTTTCATCAAACAAATCCTCACCGGGAAGCGATATGATTAAATTCAATCTTCTGATAAATCTCCCAGATATCGCTAAAAGACGCTTGCTTATTCAATTCATTACTAGAAAACAACATTGTACCGCCTGAATGGAGACCGGTCAAAGTTATAGTTATTAAAAAACCTGGCAAACCAGTGTCCGACCATAACTCCAATACGGTCCAATTGCTATGCTTTCATGCATTTTGAAATTGTTGGAGAAAATGATCCTTCGGAGACTCGATCAGTGGATCGAAGCCAATAACTTGCTATCAAATACACAGTTTGGGTTTCACAAGAGCAAAGTAACAAACGATTGTCTAGCGCTGCTTTCCACAGATATTCAACTGGCCTTTGCGCACAAGGACGAATTAGCTTCAGTATTCTTGGACATTAAGGGGGCTTTTGATACAGTTTCCATTAAACTTCTGTCAGACAATCTGCACACATGTGAAATTTCTGGAATTTTAAATAATTTCTTGTACAATTTGTTGTCAGAAAAGCAAATGAACTTTTCCCTTGGACAACTGACAACTTCCAGAATTAGTTACATGTGCCTGCCCCAAGGCTCTTGTCTCAGCCCTCTTCTTTATAACTTTTATGTCAAAGATATCGAAAACTGTTTGGCAGTTGCCTTGCAAGGATCATTGCAAAGCTCCTTAGATAGCTTGTCTTCTTGGGCTAGGAATCTAGGGATCGAATTCTCGCCTCAGAAAACTGAACTAGTAGTGTTTTCTCGAAAGCGGTACCCAGCCCAAATGCAGCTTACTCTTTTGGGGAGAAACATTACTCAATGATTATCTTTCAAGTACTTTGGGGTCTGGTTTGATTCAAAGAGCACTTGGAATACCCATTTTACGTATTTGAAGCAAAAATGTTAACAGAGGATCAACTTTCTTCGTTAAATTTGCGGCACATGGTGGGGTGCTCATCTGGGAGACCTCATAACGCTTTATAAAACAACAATTCTCTCTCTTCTTAAGTACTCTCGGCAAGAAAATTTCACCTAATAAAATTGGAACGAATTCAATCTCGTTGTCTGCGTATTGCTCTCGGCTGTATGCACTCAACGCATAACATGAGTCTCGAGGTTCTGGCAAGAGTAACACCTCTCCAGAACCGTTTCTCGGATCTCTCTCTCAGGATACTTATAAAATGCGGAGTGACGAACACACTTATAACTGCAGATTTTGAAGAAATTCTTGGGCTGAACACACAATCTCGATTTATGAAAATCTACCTTTGCTACATATCTTCGGATATGTGTCTTCCTTGGTATACTCCAGACCATGCTCACTTCACCATTAGCAGTTGAATATGATTCCAGATAAACTTCGAACTATAACAATTGCATGAAAAGATATTTTACAGGCGGGTCACGTCTCAATGGATCCACTGGCTTCGGTGTCAAGCGCCTTCTGCAAACTTCAGGAACCTTGTTCCGTTTATGTTGCTGAGCTGGCAGCAATAAACTTCGCATTGGGGATGATTTCATATCAGAGACGTGTTGGGTACCCGCGATCTCTGCTGTATGCAGTCGATTGTATTTCTGCAAATGTCTAGTACAAGAATTTAATTCGTTTGTCTTTTGTATCTCTTTATTAGCTTTTGTTTGTCTTGTCCCCCGTCTCGATGAGTCTCATCGTCGCCCACTGGTCACCATAGCCGGTCGAACTCCAAACGAATCTAGAACCACACTACCTTTCATACTGGTGACATCACTCTGATGATACAACGAAATCCTACCCCCAAGCTCCTCCCTTCTTCCTATCCTTCGACAATGTACCCCTCTAACCTCGGGTAAGCCGTGAGGATTCGGCCCAACTCCTACTAGACATAGAATTAAGTGAATTTTGTTACAAACAAAGCACAATGAATTATTGGCTCCGTATAGCTAATGAAATTGAGCCTTACACATAAACGAAGTGGATTAAAAAAAAGATACGGCTCTCACAAAGTTATGCTTTATCATACGTCTGAACAAGTTAAAATCGAAACACTCGAAACAATTGTCAAAAACACGAAGCATACTATTGATGGATTGCACGGTAACCAGTGTAAACACATTAATGAGTAAAAAAAATACACATTTTTTATGTTTAAATGCAGCTGTCAAAAACTGTGTAAATTAGGAGATCTTAAAATGTGTGAAAAAATACACATTTTAAGAATGTAGTACCAGTCAAAAAAAGTGTATTTTTAAACTCATTAATGGGTAAAAAAAAAACTTCGAAGCTTGCTGCATCCTGCTTCGTTGATGCACACGGTAAGAAAAAAGTACCCAACGGCCAGTTCACTTTTACCTACTTTTGACTAGTTTGTCTCCTTTTCTCCTTCTAATGTTGTCAAAAACGGAGGAGCAAAACCACCCAACAGGGGTAGTAAAGTGTGGGAACCCAACGTTGAGTATAATTATATTTACCTACTGTTGGGTACAACTAATTTACTTTTGCGTTGAAAGCTAATGGAAAATTCCATACGAATTGCACACAAGTAAATGAAAACTACTTTGACCCGCTTTACCTACTTTTGGGTTCCTGCACTATAGTGCCGAGATGAGTGAAAAGAACTTAATTTTGGGTACTTTTTTCTAACCGTGCACGCCATTTGCCTACACGGTAACCGCAAAATACCCAATAATGACTACAAATTAAGCATTTTCGAGGGAGACTGGGACTACCTATTAAATGAGTAAAAATACTACCCATTTGTGAGTATTTGATACTCAAAAATGAATACTTACTACTTGTTTTTGTAGTTGTAATTACTCATAAATGGGTCAAATTTTACTCATTTAATGGGTAGTCCCAGTTTCCCTGGAAAATGCTAGCTTTGTAGTCATTATTGGGTATTTTGCGGTTACCGGGGGGGGGGAGGTAGCTCATCGATTCTTCCGGTTCGCCTCCTAGCATCGTGCTATAAGGTAGCAGGCGATAACCAGGGTAGTTGATCGATAGCTCGATGACATCATTTCGTTGGCGTCTGCTATGGGAAATTCTCATAGCAGGCGTTGACGATGGGACGTTGTCGAGTTGTTGAATAGCAACTATCGTGGTAACTCACCGATTACCTGTCGATCTGATAAATTTGGAAAGACGTCTGCATTGAATTGTCTCATATAATAATATTCCGCCCACTATATCACAAGAAATTGC